ATTTCTGGCCTGTTGGGGATTCATGCCATATATTGGCAGCCACCAATGAACCCTGATTGTGTCACAGGGTTCATGTGCTAGAGTGTCCTGTGTTGTCAAGTAGAAAAGGAATGGCCTCGGTGATTGTAATGAAGAAGCCCAAAGGTAGAAACAGGCTTCTATGTATGTGTCATGCTTGGAGCGCTCTCAAAAATGGATTGCTTATCTGGATTGTGTTTCTTTGTGGTGGGATATGAAAACTAGTTCTCGTGGAATTGAGTCAAAGTCCCATGGCTAAACAGACTTGAGCTTTGTCCCCTTTAAATTTCCCTTCACCACACTAAAAGATTATTTTGGAATATTGCTAGAGTTGGTCACATGACATTTGATATATAGAAGATAGAAATTGAGCAGTGCAGTTAAAACCTCATCTCCCTACGACCCACACATGGGTGCTAACTGTGAACCACAGAAGAGAGGGGGGAAATCTGGTCAAATGCCATTCTGAGCACCATTTGCTTTAAATAACAAAGCAATCGACCAGCCCTTTGGACTTTGCTATAACAGATTTGCTCTGTTTAAGGACTTTTTTCTTTCTGTAGTATACTCAATTGAGCTTCTTACATTGGAATGACTGTTAAAACTAGAATCTGTACTCTGCAGTAAGAGTATTGTCAAACACTTTTAAGCCCCTAACATAATAGGGCTATCTCAAGACAAGGCTGCCAGGCAGGCTTGGTGTATTCTGTTAAGTGGTTATGGCCCGCAGAGCTGTGACCAAACTCTAGTGCTCAACCCCAGGCAGAGACACTGCCTTAATTTATGATTGTTTGGCTCGCTACTTCCTTAGACAAAGACTTGCAAAGTGACTTCATAAGAAAATAGTGACCCAAAAATAGAAACAAAAGATCAGGAGATACGCATGCCCACTGCGTGTGTGTGTGTGTGTGTGTGTGTGTGTGTGTGTGTGTGTTATACTGAACATTGAACCTAGGGCTCCTGCATGCTGAGCCTTTCCTGTGGCTCCACATCCTTAGCCTAGGAAAGACACCCATAACAACACCAACTCTGGAGGTCAGATCACTACTCTAGTTGAGTTTCATATTGAGTTTTAGGAAAACAAAGGAACCAAGGAATCATGATCTCTGACATTGTTCTCATTATAGGAAAAGAGGGTAGACTTGTCTTCAAAGGAAACTAAAAGCTGTACTAGAATAATACTAAGTGTTTTTCTTCCCGTGGGAGACACTGAGTAATCCATGACAAAATTTCATATTAAAAGTCCTGGATCTTTTTTTTTAGTGAGGTGTAAATTATCGTTAGACATGATATCAAACATAAGTCATAACAGGGGAAAATTCAACCAACTGGACATCACCAAAGTTAGTAGACACAATATTATATCAGTTGGCTAGTAAGCTATTGAAAAAATGTTCAGCATCAGAGAAAGGCAAGCTCAAACCATTGCATGATATTTACTTTAGAGGTTAGCCTGACTCCAGCCATTTATAGGATGTGTGACAACTAAAACGTGTATGTATTTCTGGTGGGAATGATTAATAGTGCCACTCTGAACTAAAGAGAATTAAGACCCTAGTATTAAGATGCATAGAGTAAAATGCCCATATAGCATTCAGCAGGCTTAAGTTGACTTGTAAGAAGACCATGTGACACCCTATAGGGAAAGATGCCGGACATGGCCTTTTGAATAATTTCCTCTTAATCTTCCTTCTTGCAAAAGGCAATCCGACAGGTCAGAGGGTGGGGTTATCACTCCTGTGTGAGGCTAAAGTGTTGGTACTGCTGAGGATGGGTAAGCTGAAGTCTAGTTTTTCACTAGTGCAAGTGAAGAATCCTGAGGGACACTTGATTGCCTGGAAGGCCACTCACCTTCCAGAAATGAGCACATTATTGTAATTTAAATGTTCTTGGTTGGCCTAAAATTTAACCCCCCAAAATGTTTATGTTTCATAATATAAAAGATAAAGATTTGAAAGTGTCCACAGTTGTTTCTGATACCATTACAGAGAGTTATCAGCTATTGTTTTCCCACCGGTACAGCAAGCATTTATTGGGCTCACTGACGTGTGGTGGTGGTGAACTTTGTATATGTCTGCCACTAGGGTGCTCTGATTTTCTTTAATCCCCTTCCTGCCCCTGGGTATATCAAAGGTATGTTTTGACCAGTATATTTTTAGATGAAGTTCTAACGACCTTCTAAAAACCAGAGAAGTCCATTCATTTGGAGACTGAGTTCAGTATGGAGTCTGATAGATCCTCTATACTTTTCTCAAAAGGCAACGGGCACATCCTTTTCGCTCAGGTACTCACAAGCTAGGAAGTGGTCTGCTCTGTGGTGATACCTCCTGTGGGTCTGGTAAGAGTGGTGGAGCAGTCTGCTGCTGAGGGAGCAAAAGGCAAGTTTAGAAACCCGAGTGTGTGGGTGGACATCGTGTTCGTATTCAGCAACACCTGAGCACTGGAAGTCTGAAGCGAGATGGGTAACTTATTTTTTTTAACCTCAGGGAGGCTGCTTCACATGGAAGAGTCTCCATGGCAATGATATTTGAGACATTTCTAGATGCTCCAAGCTTTGTAGCTGTCTCCAGAACACTGTGTGTAGAAAACCTTTTCCATGCTTGGGAGGTATCAGCCAAAAGAGTAAGGTTATAAAAGGAAATACTAAGACACCCCCTGTCTATCCTTTTCTCTGCACCCATTCTCTCTAGTCTTCTCCCACCTCCTGAAAGACACAGACATATACAGGAAGTTATACACATGCATGCATACTTTTCAATGACTTAGTTCTTAAACTAAGAGGCCAATAATTATAGGTACAGTTTGTGTGTTAGCGTATTGGTATTGCTGCAAGGAATGTCTAAGAAAGGCTTTAGTATTCCCATTTTACAGATGTGAAAATAGATGAATGTGGTATGTAGGAACACAAAGAAAAGAGTTCCAGGCATGGTGGTCACTTAGCAGTTAAGCAAAAAGCAAGTCCCCTGTTGGGAAGTCATGTCCTGCCAGCATCCTGTGTGAGTATAGTAACCTGGAAAATCACTGCTTCATGACGTTGGTTGGTTAATCCCGTCTCTGTCAATCACTTCCATGCAAGCTGAATAGACTATAAATTCACATTTCTGAAGACACATGGTCAAAATAGCACTTTATATTCAGTGTGAAATTCTTAAAATGAAACCCAGCTGGCAGATGGGAAGAATTGGAGAGGGGGAATATTGGGTGTGCAAGGGGTTCATGGTTTTCCAGAGAGCTAGCTTTCTATGCTTTGTGCAGATAGAGGAATATTTTCAAGCATCTATGATGCAGCACAAATGAGTTTTCTTTAACTTGGACTATGTGTCTAATTTGTAATGCTTCATAAAAACCGTGAGAAGCATAAGCAGGCCACTCCATTGCCTTGCCTGCAAAGAAAATTTCCTCATTCAGACAACCGTTTTTCAATTCTTTCATAAGTGCTAGTTAATAAATTGTGTCTCTTGGTGCTTGAAATAATTCCTTGCCTTAATAACTTAATTTGTGAGAGTGCAAAGAGCTGGCTTAGCTCATGTCTGTCTCCACCTCTGGCAGAACTCCTGCCCAGTCTCTTCCTCTTCATCTCCCATGCCCTTTTGCTTTCCTCGGGCTGGTAGAAAGTCTGCCATGTTCCGATGATTGAAGTCATCAGTCCTGCCCTGACCAAGCAACCCCCCAGCTCAAAGCACGATGCTTCCTGTCACTTGTCTAAGTCTTGTGACTCTTGGCTCCCACCAGAAGGGCACCAAAGAGCTGTGTAGCCTGTGACTAGGTTGCTACGTTTCAGCTGTCTGCAGTGCTGTATAAGAAGTCAGATGCAAGTATTTCAGCAGCTGCAAGAGATTTCAGATTCCCAGATGTTTGGTGAAAACTCTTGTGCTTCATTTAACTACTAAGAAATGTGCAGGTTTTGAGTGTTGTTGGTATGGATGAAAGGCTGGGAGTCAAATAAGAAAGAATGTGTTTCTCAAATATGGATTTCATAGGAGCCACCCATTTTTTTTCCTTCTCACATAAAAGAATAGGTTATATACGGGCACTCAAAGTTTGAAAATCTATTTTAAGATCTCTGAGTCCAGGTCCTTTATGCTCAACATGATACAGACAAGGTATCTCATAGTCTGAAGATAACATTTGTAAGCATATAGCATTGTGTGCCATTCCATACATTAATATATGTTACTGTCATATTGACCCCCATCCTGTACTTTAACAGGGTGGTACTAGACACAAACTATCATTTTATCATACTGACATCTAATGGGTTTTATTTTCAAGCCATATACATCATAGAATCATCACTTTGCAAATAAAAAAAGTTAATATGAGAAATGTAATGATTTCAAAGTGACATAGTACAATTCTATAAAGTACTAAAATCCCCTGTTACTTAGAACACTCTAAGAGTGGGAGATAGTGATGCAAGCCATTGGTTAAGAAAAGCATGGGGTAGTTTTCCTCATTGATACATGTACTTACATGTACTTTATAGTTATCTTTCTCTTTCTGGGTCCAGAAAATAGGCATAAGTTCTAGTTAGAAAACACCTGTTTGAGGCTGGGGGTTGTGGCTCACACCTTTAATCCCAGCACTTGGGAGGCAAAAGCAGACGAATTTCTTAGGTCAAGGCCAGTCTAGTCTACAAAGCAAGGTTCCAGGAAAGCCAGGGCTACATAGAAAAATCCTGCCAGAAGGGAGGGAGGGAGGGAGGGAGAGAGAGAGAGAGAGAGAGAGAGAGAGAGAGAGAGAGAGAGAGAGAGAGAGAGAGAGAGAGAGAGAGAGAGAGAGAGAGAGAGAGAGAGAGAGGAGAGAGAGGAGAGAGAGAGAGAGAGAGAGAGAGAGAGAGAGAGAGAGAGAGAGAGAGAGAGAGAGAGAGAGAGAGAGAGAGAGAGAGAGAGAGAGAGAGAGAGAGAGAGAGAGAGAGAGAGAGAGAGAGAGAGAGAGAGAGAGAGAGAGAGAGAGAGGAGAGAGAGAGGAGAGAGAGAGAGAGAGGAGAGAGAGAGAGAGGAGAGAGAGAGAGAATGCCATTTCAGACTCATCCAGGGTAATTAAACATTTACTGAAGTAGCGTCCATTTATAAGACGTGTTGATAGACATAAATGTCTCTAAGGAAACTGTCATGGTATGGGTGTGTGTGAGCGTGGCTCTGAGCATTTTAATTTCATTTATTTAGACTTTGCTTCCCTTCACTAGAGGCTGGGAGGTGATAGACATGAGTATTGATTCTGACGGTGGACGTGTTTCGTATAGCACCCTGAACCTCAGAGTGCAGCAAGTGTTAATGACTTCCCCTCTGAGACAGCTTTTGATTCAGACACAATGGAAAGTGTGGTTGGCAGTCGACAGCTGTGAGTCCACAGCAGCCCACTAGCCTCGTCTCAGTTGATAGTCGAACAGTTAGTCAAATGTAGGTGCTGCCTAGTGTCGATCAGAAGCCCTGGGTTCCTTTCCCAGCACTAGAAAAACAGAAAACAATTGTTTAAGATGCAAGTTACTTTAACAAGCTTTTTAAAAACTTAAACATATAAATGACGCTAATCTTTTCATACTAAGACAAGGGGTTTTCCCAAATGTTTGCCACTAGTGTGAGTTCTGTGTTCTGTTTCTAGCAAGATATAGAAAGTGGCTGTTCCCCTCTGATGTTCATTCAGCTTTCTGTTTCTTTACAATAGAACCATTTGATAAAGGTACTTGAAACAATCTTGCCTTCCAATCCTTTATCAGTTTTGGAAAATGTATTACTGAAATCTAATTCAAGAGCAGTTTGTTTTTAATGACTTTGCTTTATTAAGTTCTTTGAATACCTACCATTTAATTTTTCATAGAAATAGACATTATCTTTTCAAGTTCATATTTCATCTGTTGGCATCACATTAATTAAGCTGCTTAATGATAAGAACAAATATGATTGCCATGAGAATTGCGAAGCAACTTAGGAGCAGACATAGTAGAAAAACAGTCCACCAGTCAGGAGCGTCTGCTATGATTTTGCATGGCCTGTCAAAACCCATTGTGTGGGAGGCTTCAAGCATCATCTTGTACTGGGACAATGAAGACTCAGCTAACCCTAGATGATTAAGAGGAAGCTAATCAACAGAGCCTTTATTCTAAGTGTGTATTGTTTTTAAATTAACCAAAGCTTTGTCCTTACCTCTGACGGCCTTGTATTTCACCATCACCGTCTTAGGTTGGTTATGTGGCAAATATCATTGCTCACTTAGCCCACAAAATATCTGTGACCATGGAGGGTGGGCAGATGGTGGCAGTTTCCTTGCTGCACTGGATACAGTCCGGCATGATGTGTAAGATGTGGCCCTGCTGATACATGTTGCTTCTTCACTTTGAACACAAAGGGGCAGAGAATGGAAACCATCACCGGAACTGCTTGCTTCATGCTGTCTACCTGTCTGGCTCAGATCCTAAATCTCCTCACTTTGGGGAAGAACCTGATGCTTCTTGCCAGTCAACCAAGAACTGAATCATTAACATGACCTTTGTTCTTTGAATTTTGATTAAAGGTTTCTCAGCCTTGGCATTGTTGGTCTTGAGGGCTAAAAAGTTCTTTGATGAGGGGAAGGAGTGATCTCCCTGTGGAATGTGTAGCAATAACACTGGTCTAGACCCACGAGAGCCCTTTCTCTGTACTGTTTCCCTCATCGTGGTAGCCAGTACCATCCCTAGACATTGCTGGATGTCCCCTGAGAACTATGATTGCCTCTCCTCTTCCCATGGTTGATAATTAGTGGCTTCGACTAATTGTGGAATGACGAGTACCCCGGGCCACACGAATAGTCCTGTGGGAAATATAGTCCATGGTTTTTGTACCTTTCTTTCTGGTGTTCTCTTTATGTTTGTGATAATGATCTCCAGACTTGCCTTTCACAAGCTTTAAACTGAGTTCAACTGGTTCTACGTGGAGTCTCTGCTAAACATTCCTCAGGATGGATTACCACTTGGCTTTTCTTGCCTTGGGCTGCCTGCAAGCCTCTTTCCATTCTCATATTTCTAAGTGGCCAAGATATGAGGCTCCTGGATGAGTTGCCAGCAGCAGGGAAAGCGGTTGTCTCCCCATGACTGAAAACACGGCACTTAGTTGCTATCTGCCTCCCTTGGTCAGGGATGAGACTGAGAGGTAGGCAGACTGTTCTCCCCCAACCCCTACTCTGACCTGCCACACCTTCCTATTTTCTATTTCCTTCCAGTGTTTCCATTATAGCTCCCTGCTGTAGCCAGATGACAAACTTCTGGCAGGAACATCCCTGGGATACTGCTGTACTGGACAGAGCCATTGGCACCTTCCACTGGCAACTCAACAGCTCACTGCTTGCCATATTTGTCTATCTCCCACTTGAGGCCCCAAAATTTGAATCTGCCCCAACATCTGAATATTGTCCTGTTAGGCCAGAGTATTACCATAGTGCCACAGGCCAATATTGCCCATGTTTATTTGAATCTACATATTAATTAGACTTGCTATTGCTTCTGCTTTCTCATACCTAACACTTCAGTGGATACTTCATCGATTATGAAAATCAGATAAAGTTGAAAATATAAGCTAGTGTGTCGTTTTTTTTCCAGAAATTTTGCATATGTAATGCTCTGTCACTATTAATGAACTGTTTATTGTCTTGTATTTTGTTGAGTTGTAGGGAGAATCCTTTGTGTTGGGGAGCTAACAGTGGCTCAGTGATCTGCATATTGGATAAGCAAAGAGAATAGATCTTACAGAATCGAAGCATCTACTCCAGGCTGTCTGATTGGAGACCAACTGGTTAATGTCTGCTTGTAGCACAGAGCAATATAATCAAGCAGGCTGAATATGAGGTGTAGCCAAAATCTGTTATAATACGCAACAGACTTTTCAGAAAGTTGCAAGTGTGAAATAGATCGAGGAATTGTTATTCACAGGTCACCTAACATCAAGTTACGTCTGTGACAGTGGGTGGCTTTGAAACATTCTAAGCTTCCTTCTCCTTCGTCTGTTGACACAAGCAAAGGTTATGGTGGGAAACAAGTGCTTTCGGCAACACAAAGCATAGCCTCACAACTGAATGTCTTGAGAACACAGCTAGCAGTCCAAGCAAAGCTCTCAGCACGGCAAAAGGGACATAATCAGTGCTGACCCATCTCAGCTACTGAGGCAGACACCACCGTCAGTAATTGATAAGTTGTTCTTCCTTTTCAGGTGCTCACACCCCTCCCCCCTTTACTTCATGAAATGGAGAGCTCATATCTTTAGCCTGCATTTTATAATACCAGGATGGCCAGCCAGCCATACCAATATGCACAGTTAATAGCTATTAAGTTTTAAAAAAAAAAACTTAAAAGAATCAATTTCATGGTGACTGCATCTAGTTAGGCAAGTCATTTAAGCAACATTTTACTCGTGTGTAGCAGACCATTTTATAAGTTACTGATAGCTTTACAAGTCTGTGTTTCAGACAAGCTAATTGGTTGTCTCTGATATGTGTTTGGGGTTTTCACTCATTAACTCCCTTTCCTGTCTAGTACACATTTGACTAGTTCCCATACAGATAGGTAAGACTCTTAAGCAGCCACGTTGTATTGCCAGGAGAAAGCCTTGTCAGCAATAGGTTTCAGACATTCTTACAATATCTGTTTCTTAAGTAAGGATAAATTATAATCAGAAAGAATCCCAAAGAAGAAAGAATCACATTTATAATATTCTGGAAGCATTGGGTACCAAATGAGTGTCCTTCTGCAGGGGTGAAGTGAAGGGTTACGGGAAGGAGGGGGAGATGAGAAGGAAAAGGTGTGGGACTGAAGGCTGGCTGCTTCTGTAATTAATGGTGTTATAGATCGTTATTGAAAAGGCTGCCCGCACCTGCATGCAAAGACAAGCGCACTACTGAGGCTTCCCTTTTCTTGCATGTGTCAGTGCTTTCCATTCTCTGAGATAAGAATTAGATGCTTTGTTTGGACACAGATTAAAGGAATAGCTCAAAACACAAGTGTCGTATTGGTTGTGGATTTTTGGAGTGCTTCTCTTTTTCCATGATAGGTTGTTTACTCGTCTGTTTGAAAAACAACTCATTGCAGCTGCCTGTGGGCATGTGTGTAATAGGGTTTAAACCAATTAGACCTACAGTTTTGAAACTGTTTATGAGATCAGCCTTCTGCGTGAAACCTTGACCTGATTAATTAGAGCGGTAACTCCACTCCGATATTCAGTTCCTTTCTTTTACTGTCATTTCAGTGTAGGGTGAAACTCAGGGCCTCTTTCACTGGCTTTGTTATGATAGTTCAGCCCCTGAAGTCCATTTTAAAAAGAGTATCTTCTGTGACATGAGTATAGTAGGTACATTAGAGAGAACAAAACAGTTTTTTTTCATTGTCTCTGTTCCCAAGGAACTAAGGTCCTTTAACAAAGGAAAAAAATTAGAGAAAAATTATCCAAATTTGGTTTATCACTTTTGAAAATGGAGTTCGGCACAGATATGTAGAAATGTTTTATTCTGTCATGACTGATAAATCTCTCATTAATTTATACAAGCATTATTTATAATGCCTATTAGAAGGAAAACAATGACTCATACAGGTAAAGAACTCATAGGTTATGGGCCTTGGGCCATGCAATCCAGAGCCTATTAGCCAACCAGACTTACATTTCTTCAGTTCTTTGGGCTTCTTCTTCCTCCATGTACCAGCCCTATGCTCAGACTTTGTATCTTAGCGTCGTTCTGTTACCATAGGTAGCTGCCCACAGCTCCCAGAGCCCTTCCTCAGCATTCACAACTACCTACAAACCAGACCTCACCTTGATAGCCTTGTGAACTCCTGAGCCCACTTGTTTCCTCTCCTGGGGTATATTTCCATTTTGTGAGCCGCTGGGCCGTCTTTATCTCTTAAAGCTTTAAATTGGGCTTCTTGGTCTTTAAGTCACAAACTTCTTCAGGTATTCAAAATACGGTGCTAGAAGTAAGCAGTTAACAATCCGAAATATGGAACTGGTTAAATAGATGTACGGGAGAAAGAAGTAAGCCAGGGCCCCAGTAAATTTATGACCCCAGTGCTCTGTGTGAAGAACAAATCATTTAGCATTTTGATTTTTGTACCTTATTGTATATTGTTAGCTCTAGTGAATGTAGAAATTACAATCTGTGAGATAGCATGTGCCTAACTGGATTTTATTTTTATACTGGTAAGAGATATAGTCTTGAAAAAATAGCATGAAAAGAATATAAAACTCCCCATGCTCAAATCAGTCAAAGAGAGAGATTAGAACAGAATTGCATGGCCTGCGGTCCAAGAGAGTAACCTTAGAGATGAGAGTTGGAAGGGTCAGTTTTCTCCAAGAGTGTAGCTCCTGATAAGTCCACCACACTCCAGTGGAAGGCCACAGATGAAAGAATATTTGGATAGCACAAATTGGCCTTGATTGAGGGGGGCACAAACTTGGGTGAGAAGGGAGAGGGGGGGTAGTATCTGGGAAGGTAAATATGATCAAAATAATTGGACAAAATTATCAGAGGACTAATTAAAAATATTTTTAAAAAACAAAGAAGTAAAAGTTGGCTTACCCTTAGGAATCTAAGAAAAAGCACAATATGGAGTTCAAGCAAGTGGGAGTGGGAATAAGAAAAATGAGACTGGAAATAAATAAAAGAGAGACTAGGAAAACAATTGACAAAATAAATAAAATAAAATAATTAATTTTATTCACTTTACCCAACTGAATAAAAACAGAAGACTTAAATAACAAAATGGGGTTTAAGAATGGAGTCATTGTCAACTGGCCTAAAAAAAAATGCTGTTACTGGAGCATGACATGAAAACTGCTTGCCAGTGAATTAGATGGCCCAGATTAGTTGTATGTATTGTATCCTGTGAATTAGATAACCCAGATTAGACACATATATTGTACCCTGTGAATTACATGGCCCAGATTAGTTGTATGTATTGTATCCTGTGAATTAGATAACCCAGATTAGACACATATATTGTACCCTGTGAATTAGATAGCCCAGATTAGATATAGATTGAATGTGTATTCTCTGTGAGTTAGATACCCCAGATTAGATATGCACATTCAAAGGATAATGAACAACTGAAGTTAACAGAAAGTGGAAAATCTAAATAGACCTTAACAAGTAAAGGCATTGCATTAGTTGACCAACAAGAAAATATCAGGGCCAAATTTTATGAAGTATTTTTAAAATGAACAATCCTTCTCAAGGAATGCTTTCCAATTCATTGTATGAGGCTAGGATTACTATTATCTTAGAGACAGACAAAACTATTATATAGAATATAAACTACTAAGAGTCGGCAAGATAGCTCATCTGGTAAAGGAGTTTGCCACCAAGACTGGCACCGAGTTGCATCCCTAGGTCCTACATGGTAGAGAGCACCAGCTCCCACAAGTACTCTGGCCTCTGCAGGGGTGTCATGGCAATCAGGTACTCACACATTCATATACACATTATTAAAGAAACAAGAATTTCCAATACTAGCAAATGAGCCCAGCAACATATAAAAGAGAAATGAAAATGTATTTACACAAAAACTTGAACATGTTTCATATCAACACCAGTCACAGTAACCAAAAATTGGAACCCAAACGTCTGCAAGTCAAGGAAAGGATAAATAAAGTGAGAGCTGTCCATATGCTGGAATATAATTCAGCCATTTGTGGATGAACGCTGAAAACACCGAAAGAAGCCAGTCGCAAAAGGCCACATGCATGGTTTTTGTGTGTATGAAATGTTCAGAACATACAAAGCCTTAGTAGAAAAATCGAGAGACAGAGACAGAGACAGAGAGACAGAGACAGAGAGACTGGATTGTACTCTTTAAATGTGTGAAATTATCAAATTACACATCAATAATGCCTGTATTACTGAAAAGAAAATACCTGTAAAGCCAATTGTAAAGTTCTGTGCTAAAGAACTGTAGATTTATCCAAGCAATGAAGGAAGTAGAATCCCCAAAGAAGGGGCCTGGAGAGATGGTTCAGTGGTTAAGAGCACTGACTGATTTTTTGTTTTGTTTTGTTTTGTTTTGTTTTTCCAGACAGGGTTTCTCTGTATTGTTTTGGAGGCTGTCCTGGAACTCGCTCTGTAGACCAGGCTGGCCTCGAAGTCACAGAGATCCGCCTGCCTCTGCCTCCCGAGAGCTGGGATTAAAGGCGTGCGCCATCAACACCTGTCTTCAAGAACACTTTGTATAAAACCCGGCTTGCACTGACTGATCTTCCAGAGGACCTGGGTTCAATTCCCAGCCCCCTCATAGCAACTCACAACTGTTCCAGTTTCCAGGAGACTCCACACCCTCACACAAACATACATACAGGCAAAATACCTATGCACATGAAATAAAAATAAATTTTAAAAAATCTTAAGAGAAGGTATCTACTTATGGAATTTAGAATATTCTAGAATTTTAGAGTCATTGACAGAAAGCAACTTTAAGGCTTCTCAACTACTTAAGGATATTTTGGTTGCTACACATTCTGGATGTTTCAAAAGGATATTAAATGTGTTAAACTGATAAGTGGAATTATAAAATATTACAATAGTTAAATCCTTTATAACTGAGCCTAAAGAATCTTATAGGTACCCTGAATTTAAAAAGGTTATAAATATGTTAAATTTTTAAGTTGGCCACCAAATCTGCAGAAAAACATCTAGACAGTATACATTTAGTAAATTATATATTCGTTTTAAAACTGCAAAGTAGCAGTAGCTACTTTCTGTGTACTAAGAGCCATCCTTAAAGGACACCACATTTTCAAGGTGACAGACTATATGCCTGATGGGGGCATATTATTAGGGGACTTGGTAGAAAATTTCCCTGTGCCCTGGCTAGCTCTTGTGGCCCTTAGGAACTCTACATGAGGAGCAACCAGGCTGAACATAAAAGGGAATTAAAGTGTGGCTTTGCTTAGAGACTGCCAACCTGCCAACTAGACTCCACTTCCCACATCTGAAATCATAACTGGAGCCTTGGCCGTGTTAGGAAAAGCAAATTGTCTGCCTCAGTGAAGTCCAAGTGAGGAAGAAGTGGTCAGGCAGGATGAGGTCAAACTATCCCAGAAGCTGATTGCCCAGACCAGGCACTCCTGTGCTTGCCTGTTGGAAAGAACACAAAGCAGAATTTCTAAGCCCGAACTTGGATACGGAACATTCCAGGCTGTGTGACATGCTGTCTGTCTCTGTGGCAATTACCCAAATTTGCAGTTGTAGCATAAACGCAGCCATAGATAATATTTAAGGGAGTGAGCATGCCTTCTTCCAATAAAACTTTACAAGTAATTCATAGTGTCTGGGTGTGGTAGTGGTGATCCACAAAAGCTACTGTGACCCCCTAATCTTAAATGGTTTTTCCTATACTTCTAAGGTCTCCTCTTGAAGTTATAGGACTTAACCCATGCTCCAAAAGATGATTGGGGTGGGTTGCAGATGCAATGTTTAAACCCAGCACTGGGCAGGCAGAGGCAAGTGGATCTCTGCAAGTTTGAGAGCAGCCAGCGCTACACAATGAGACCCTGTCTCAAAAGGGGTGCAGGGTTGGCATTTGTAGGCTGATCCTTTCCATCTGTGGGTAGAAGAACCTTGGTCTAGAAGCAGGACTTTCAGCAAAGGCCTACAGGCTGGACTCCCTAGAGGTCTGATCCTAAAAGGAGAGTGAAGCAGTTGCAGATATAGGAATACTAAATCTCTTCCATCTGTCCCTGAAGACCAGAAGCATCCTGCTTATCTTCACCTCTTGAATGGTGATCTCATAAGCAGGTTGTTTTGTTTGTTTGTTTGTTTTTTGACAGGAGAATAAGATGAGTCCCTCAGACATATCAGAAAGAAAAAAATAGACAGAAAGAAAAAATAGAGGTAGCTTGTGCCATACTTCTAGATTAGCAGATGGAGCAAATGTAAGAATGCCTATCAGCTCCTAACTTCCACTACCAGAGCAAATGAGATTGTTGTGTTTGACAGTTCTGGTACATGCTAAGTTCCCCACGCAGTGGAAACTGGGTTTCTGTATAATTACTGTTCTTCCATATAGCATCTTGCACACAACCGAGGTTACTGGCTTGGGAAGGAGACTTGTAATAAAGGCAAGGCTTAGTCACAGGTAATAACCTGAAGTCATTTGTCTGGCTTGCGATTCCAAGGTCAGGCAGCTGCACTGAACATGAGCTTCCTTACGAAGCTGTGTCATGAACACGTTCCATGCAGCCCTCTTGAAATTGAGCGTCCACCTTCCTGCATTCACTAGCACAGTAACACAGATTCTGGAAACATCAGTAGTCATTCTTCACTCCTCACTGGTACTCGCTAAGAAGTCAGTCCAGTCTGTGCAATACCTTTGGGAATGCTGCATATTGGTTTTGTATTATCTATTTCTGTCCTCGGTGACATATTTAGTACCTTTCTAAGGATTTCAAAATCCTGCAAGCAGGACAGTGAAAGGAGGTCATCTGTGCAGCCCTCTGGACCAACCTTTCTTTCAACAAGCTGCCACCAGTGTATTCTGAGGAATCTGCCACTACAGACCCATCCTTGAGCCACTGCGTGGGCACAGTTCTCTCTGACTTTGGTGAAGGTTGCCAACTTAAGCCTGCCCCAGGAGCTCTCAAAATCAAGGCAGCAGAGTTAGATGGGCCCCCTTTGCAAGCACACAGGCACAGTGTGTTTACTTAGTAGGCAACAGTTTAACGACTGACTCTAAGAAGGGAAAAAAAACCTGGTTACTTGCGCTTGAAGATTTTGGAGATGTAAGAATACTGCAAAGTGTTGATGATTTCATGCATGACTTAAACAGTTTGCTATCCTCATCCCCAGAGTTGCAAAGAGAGGACACACATGAGCTATTGCTAGTTCTGGTGCCAGCCGACCCCAGCATATGACTCAGGAGGATATTTACAAGTATCACTAAAAAGGCTTTCCCTGTCATTACAACGGGTTTATCTGCTGAAGAGATGAAAGCAAGGGGCCAGGGTATAGATGAACAAACTCTTAACAGTCATGGGAAAGGCCTGGCAAAACTGTAGTCAATGCAGGTCCTCTTGATGGCTTAGAAATTGGAACAGAGAGATTAAAGTCATACATACCTACCTAGCTCAGAAGCCATTGTTGAAGGGTATACTTTAGCTCAGTGCTAGAGTACTTGCCTAGCATATGCAAGACCCGGAGTCTGACTCTTATTACCAAGTTAGAACAACAGCAAAAGAAAGACAAACAGCATAAGAAACTCCTGTGTTGGCCGGTTCATGTATTTAAAACTGTAGGCAAACAATACAGGCTTTGATCAAGATTGCTACTCAGTTGCCTTCCAAGCTAGCTTGCCCTTCTACATACAGAGTGCCACAAGTACATGCTTTGGTTTTGTGGAGTTTTGTTTTTTAAACGGGGCCTCACTATGGAGTCCATAAATGAGCCTGGAACATTCTCTGTAGACCAGCCTGACCTCAAACTCACAGAGGTCACCTGTATTCTGCCTCCCAAGTGATAGGATTACAGGTGTGTGCCACCACACCAGGCACAGGCTATAGTTCTTTTCCCCAGCTTGGGATTCTGTCTTGCAGTTTTACAAACTTCTGTTCTTAGCCCACCCCCCACATCACTGCAGATAGCACGCTGGCCCAGGTGGCTTGTTCTGCATATCTCCACTGCCTTTGCACAATCACTGCAAGCTTGCATGAGGGATAGATAGTGGGTGCATGAATGAAGTTACGTTATAAATTAACAAAGTTCCATAGATTGCTTCAGACTCCACTAGTACCTGCTGTCACAGCCATCCAGACTTAAGAAGAGCCACTTAAAGTCTGCTGGTGTTTCTCAAAGGAAGTGTGTGTGATGCCTCTAGATGTGGGGAAGTACAGGAGAAGCAAGTACTCAACTCCCATCAGTGGCCCCAGGCAGGTATAAAAGGCACCACAGGGGCTGTGTAGACCGTTCTCAACAGGCCAGGTCCACCCAAGCGATGTGTTAGGCATCTTTAGCTTTAGCGATTACCAGCTGGTACTCAGAGCATTTAATTCTGTAGAATGAGAGATGACTTAGTATAATACATGGCGAGGTCCCACATGGTTCGCTGTTACTCCCGACTCTGTCTTTAATGTGTTGCCACACATCCATGTGGGTCAGAGCCCTCTTTATAAATATCCAAGCTCAGAACCTAAGCCTATTTCACATAAAGCACAAAGTCAACCCTGCTCTAGTATCACACCCTTGGCTTACCAAAGTGTATAAAAGAAAACTAGGTCGCCCCTGGGCACACGCTGCTTACTAACAAAAGCAGGAAGCACTTTATCTATCACTGTAAATAAAAGGAAGTTTGCAGGTGTTAGCAAAAGGCCAGTGATTAGAGTTAGGAACTATATATGCCTTCTAAAAATTTACTCACAGAAATTGAAAGTAAAATTGTAAAGTTAGTGAATATCATCGCAGTTGGCTCTGTGACCCTGTAACCAGACAAGGACTGTCTTAGGGTTTCACTATCTAAAGAGAGATAAAGGCCATGTCCAGCCCTGGGAAAGGGATTCCTGTGACTTATGACATCTTGAGGGTTTAGCAGCTGCTACAACCATTAGCAACGGCAGAACCGCCATGTCTTCTTTATAGAAAGACTTCGGTGGATCCAACGTGTGAATGATGGGATTTAATCATGCAAATCACTCACCTGGCATGATGGGTGCAGAACTCTGATGACATAGCTAAAATCACTTGGCTTCCTTTGGTGGCTTTGTTTTTCTATCTCTAGGGTGGACACATGGCCACTGACCAATGGTCACTCTGTGACTGTCCTGAAAATAGCTAAATGACTACAGGTTGCCAGGCAGCTGCATTCTGATGTCATTCCCCTAAATGCCATCTCCTCCTTCTAGCACTTTCCAGCTAACCATGACATGTATGCAGCAATAAAGTATTTCAAAAAAGCTTGTCTCTTCATGAAACACAGTCTTGAACAAAGCCACTCACACCAGCAGCACGTTTGAAAGGGAACATGGATTCAAATACATCATTCATGTTTGTGAAACTTAAACACTACCCTTTAAAGTGACCGTCCTAAACATAAAAACACGCTGAAAGAAAGTCAGCGTGACTGTAATTTTTATTGTAGTAGTGCCGGGGAAGTAAAACCTGATGTCAGGTTAGTGTAAGAGAACTAAAGGGACTCGGAAAGCACTTTGGATGAGAGCAGTCAGCGTCCGCCCTGCTTGCTGCCTTGCTTCAGTCATGTTTAGAAGCACGAGAAGGATAGTAAAAACTGTGTTCTGGCAGCAGAGAAACTGGCGGTATTCAGCATCTGGGGATTGCAATCTTGTTTTAATTATAATTATATGGAATCCTTTGAATACCACCTGGGTGACTGTGGCAGGCTTAGGTACCCACTTAGGTTACGGAACTAAAAATCTCAAGTTACTCTGCCATATTTGTCAGCTTAACACTGCTGGGTTCCTCTGCCCGATGACCAAACTGCTGCCTTTCCAGCTTCCATTTCCCTGTTGAGGATTTGACGAGACCTACCTTTATGTTATTCTCTTCCTAGTGTGTCTACATGAGAAGCATGTTAGAACTAAGTTCTGTATCTGTCAGCAATGCAAATGGGACCAGTTAGTTGGCAATCATTAAACCCGGTGTTTTCAAATTAGTTTGAATTCTGCTGTTAGGATTATTCTGAGTGTGTTTTGTTTCGTTTTTTGCTTTGTTTTGTTTTGTTGCGTTTTGCTTTTTGAGACAGGGTTTCATACGTAGTCCAACTGGCCTGGAACTCACTATGGAGAACAGTCTGACCTCAACTCAGATATGCCTGCCTCAGATTTATGAGTGCTGGCATTGAAGATGTATACCACCTTGCCCAGTTTGATTCTGTGCAATTTTTAAATGAACTCCTAAGAAGAAATCTTGCTAATGAGATACATTTGCCTACTTACTGTTGTTTTTATTGCTGAATTTTTCATGACCAGTACTTTTTCCTATTATTATTATTATTATTTGGTTGTTTTTTTTTTCAAGATAAGGTTTCTCTTTGTAGCTTTGGCTGTCCTGGAACTCACTCTGTAGACCACACTAACCTTGAACTCTGAGATCTGTCTGCCTCTGCCTCCTGTCTGCTGGGATTAAAGGTGTGTGCCACCAGCACCCGGCTCCAATTAGTAATTAAAAATGCTACCCTTTTGAATTAAGGTTCTAAAATGTCAGTGGCACAGCTTACTTCGTGTACCAGAATTCTGGTGGGAAGCATTATTAAACAAATACCGGATTGCATTACAAGCATGGCAGGCTTAATTTCTGGGATTGTTGGTAGAATCCGAAATGGGAAAAGGGAGACAAACAGCCTTGGTTTACACCCTTTGGGGAAACCCTCTCCTAGCTATGGCATTTACCATATTCCCTCTCTGTACCTTCTGCTGCTCTTCATCCAGCCGCTAACCAAGGGCTCTCCCTGTCAGCTCTGCCCTCTGCCTCTCAAACTGATGGTTATTACACAGAGGTACTTTAGGCTTTCTTAGAGGTAAACTGTTTTCAATATTCAATGAGGAAAAGAAACTAGGAGAATGGAATCGGGGTGGGAAGGTTTTTGTTTGGTTTGGTGTTTGGGTGTTGGGTTTTTTTTTAATTTTCATGTGTGTCTGCATATATGCTATATGCACATACATGCTTTCATGTGTGTGTGGAGCTGGTGAAGGGACCGAGTCTGACTTTGGCAATCTCCCTCAGCCACTCTCCAGCTTATTTTCTGAGGCAGGATCTTGCAGGTGAAGCCGGGACTAACAGATTCAGCTAGACTAGCAAGCCAGCTTGCTCTAGGGGCCCCCTTGTTGGTCTTCTAAGGGTGCTGGAATTAGAGGCTACCCCACCCAACCAGCATGTACCTGGTTCTGGGGACCCAAATGCTGGTCCTCACACATTTCAGCCAGCACTGTACTGCTTAGCCATCTCCCCAGCCCTCACGTGCATATTCTTAAAAAGCAAGTGTCCTCTTTAAATAATGTGGGCAGTGATTTGGATGAAATATTGTCCTGGCCTATTTTCTGAGCCAGCATTTTCTGATCTATGGATGAAATAAATTGTCATTACTCTTCAGAATTCAGATCTAGAGGGACCTTCGGTTCTTATAACCTTTTTAAAAGAATGAAACAGGCATTTATTGTCAATTTGAAATATGTATAAGAGGGTGTGTGTGTTTAGATAGGATCTCAGTATGTACCACTGACTGGACTTGAACTCACAGAGATCCTCCTGTCTCTGCCTCCCAAGTGCTGGAGTTAAAGGCGTGGGATACCATGATCAGCCTTTATGAGAGGACTTTTAGAGTTATTCTTGAACTATAAAATCTTAGCATTATTTTCATTTCTAAATTAGTACAGCATTTTGTATTTCTGAGTCAGACATGGTACACACCTGTAATTCCAGTACTTTCAGGTCAGAGGTAGGAGGCCTGGCCACAAATTTGAGGAGTTCTGGAACAGTCGGGGCTATCTATGAGACCCCTGTTTCAAAAAGCAAAAACAAACCAACAAAAGATACAGAACAACGACAGAGCCTTTTGTATTTTTGGACATATCCCCTTGCTGGGGCAGGCTGGTTTGGAGAGTGTGGTTTTGCTGGTAGCAGCCTGGCCTTTGTGATGGCAGAATGTAACTTTCAGGAGTGGCCTATAGTTTTCAGAAAATCTTCCTTAGTGATAAGTTCAGAGTTTTACTTGGGCCTGCTGTGTGTCCATGAGTGAGGAGCTGGAAGAATTCTTTACTTTATCCCTTACCTTGAGAACAAAGCTGGTACTTGTGCAAGCCCTAGCTGTGTGAAACTGATTTAGTCAAGGGTTCGATCTTTCCCTCCCAGAAAATCCAGGACTGGGAATGGAAGAAAACATGAGAGACTCTATGCACATGTATAAATCTGGTAATTTATCTAGACTGGTCTGGACAGCCTTGGGCACCTGTACCTTCAGCTCTTGTTCTTCTAGAAGATCCTTTCCTGGCTCTCAGAAAGGCCCACTAGAAATTTAAGGTAGCAAGAGGATAAGATCACCAACATTGGTTTCTTTCTGGATTGTCTTGTGTGTTTGACGGAATCCGTACTTTGTCAGGGTAAGACAGCTAGTGTTGTATGGCTAACAGTGGCTAGAGTAAGTGAAATCTTTTGGGTGTTCTTTTGTGATTCTCCCTGCCCCATAGTACATACAATTCTTCCTCAGACTTCATAAGAACGCCCCAGCAGTTGAGTGCAAAGTCAGACTGGTGGCTCGCAAGCAGGTCACCCGCACCCAAAGAAAACACTCCCAGGTCATTACACGTAACCCTGTTAAAGCAACAGCTGTGGACAGACTGGAACACCTGGACATGACTGTTCATATAAATTCCGCTTAATACCCCCCACTTCATCACTTAGTATCTTGATAGGGAAAAACGGTCCTGATGCGATGACTAACATCTCTTTATTTTTTTTCTCTTCAGATCAAAAAATATTTTGAACTTGAACCACTTGCACGTGGGAAACGCTGGATTCTGCAGCCCTGCTCGCTAGATGACATGAACGCACTGAAAGACAGCTTCTCCCAGCTCATAAACTTGCTAGAAGAAAAAGACCTTGAGGCAGTGAGAATGTGAAATCTAACACAAAAGTTCCCCGAAAGCCTTGAACCCACCATGTTAGTTTCCCATTCTAATTTCATGTTGGTGTCAAGACTTCATGGCTTCAGTGTCTGTCTTCCTCTCGCTATTCCAGACTTTCATCTCTCTGTTAAAGTGACTGTTCTATGAGTCAGGTAAATGTCATCAGCATTAACGCCAAGTACACACTACTGAGGGAGAATTCATTCTCTGTTTACCACTAATTATGTTCACGGCATGTTTCTTTCTTTGTGGGTCTAAGAATCTCTTCCATACTTTGTGCTAAAATGGATGGAACTCACGGCTCATGGAAATGAAGCCCCTTCTGAAGAGCTCAGAGAGACTCACGCATCTTCACTAACTGTCCCCGTCCTTGAGCTTAGAGGGTTGTAACCGAGACTCCACATGGTGTGTGTGCTATTTCCATTTCCATGATCTCCTAGGGATTTGAGTTTTTTACATTTTATTTTATCATGTCTGTTTTTCATATTTTTGTGTGTGTGTGTGTGTGTGTGTGTGTGTATATGTGTGCGCGTGCGCGTGCACGCTCGCACACGCGTATTGACTTACAGGCTATGAGTGAATAATTGACCACCCAAAACTTCACCTGATCATCTTTTCATAAAACTGGCTGGGAAGAGCCTTGCTAGCAGCTGTGTAATGCTGGCTTAGGAGGGAGGCTGAGAGAGTTGGAGCACATTTAGGCTAGTATAGGCACCGCTGAGTCCCATTTGATCAAGTCCTCAAATATTTCTCAATGGAGTCATTAGTCTGCAAAAAGTCAAGCCGCAACATAAGCATTTTTCAAAAAAAAAATCAGAAGTGTGTGAATAAAATTAAGAAGATGACTTTTCAAATAATAAACATAACAGCCAAAGTCTAACTCACCACAGTTAGGATTTAAGCTGGCTTGGATATGATAAAGCTCAAAGACAAACCCTGTTTGTCACGCTTTCATCAAGTGCTGATGTCGCTTTGAGGAGTCTGCTCGGGCCTCCATTTAGTAGCTAGAGGCCTATCAGTATTTCTCTTGTAAACCTCTATTTTCAGGGGTGTCGGTGTGCCCTTAGAATATGCTGGCTACAGCAAATAAATGAGGGCCTAGACTCAGTCTTTGGAAATAATTTTTTCAACTTAATTTAAATGATAAAATTGCAAAGAGCAATGTAAAGTTTTAGTAAGATTTAACGCCTTTGACCTTTTCTAAATCAGGAATAATCTATGAATGTTGAGATTCATGGATGAAATATTCATTGGTACATCTTGTAAACTTTTGGCCACACATCAAGTATATACTAAGTGGCCTAATGATAGAAAACTGCTCCCTACACCCAAGCAATAAAAACATGTCTGTCATTTTTAGGTAATGTGGACTAATACCTAGATGCCACTCAATGCCATATTTATTACAGGGTGACAGAAAACCATGTGACTCTCTGAAGGAAAGACTTCAAGCCCCTCACAGTGCTCAGATGCAGCGCTTGTGATTTCATCTTGGAAATGGATTTTAATAAAACAATCCCACACTTCTTTAAGCCTTTTAGAATATATATATACATATATATATGTATGTATATATATATATATATATATCATAGACCAGAGAAGGATCCATGATGATTAATTTGTCTAAAGTATCCCTGAATATTTTTAACACCGTGTGATGATCCACGGACAGCACAAACCTTTAGTTCCGATGACCAGTTACTTAATTCCTGTTTTTTATTTTGTCTTCTCCTGCTCATCTTCCATGAAAATAAATATATATATATAAATATTTTTGGAGGGGGCAGGCGTTGCTCTCCCCGCAAGTTCATTAAATGTCGAGTGTTGTCTTTTTGAAGATACTGTGACTGAGTGCTCCTTGCCATCTGTCAAATGACTCCCCGCTGTCTGTGTGTGTTCATGTGCGCCAGCAATGGGCTTTCTCCACAGCCCGGAGACTGTCTCAGCGTCGCAGCCGTCACAATGAAAACATTATCAATCAGTACCCAACAACAGCTGTTTCTGACAAGTTTCTGTCTGACGCCTGATGCCTTACAACTGTCAATAAGGCTCTGTCTTTGTCTAGCAGGTCGGCGTGCGCTATCTTACTGCTCCTCTTGGCATCCCGTCTCTGTAACCCTGGAATTTGCTGTGTTTGGGAAACCCATGTGGGGGAGGGGAGAGGGGCGGGGAGGGTCTGTGCGTGTTCTTACTTTTGTGTAAGGTGCCACAGGTGTCTTCATTTGCATACTCAAATATAGAAGAAAACAGTCTGTTATGTATTTCTTCAGTTAGCATCTTGTTATATTTATGGAAGTGACCCATTTTTGTACCTTCTTAGCTGAAGCAGTTGCCTTTTTTTATACTGGCAATTAATTTATATAAGACTTTGTATCTACCGTAGTTTACAGTATTGGTTGCTGGGTAACTGCCATATTACCCTGTCTTTCTATTGAGATATAATCTATACTTAAAGTTGACAGGTTCATGTGGACATTTGCTAGGCAAGATGAACTTTGCCTGGTCTGTGATTTATATGATTTCCACTATCTTGCAATGAAAATAAATGCTTAGTAGAACTGGTGTTTCCAGCCTGACTCTTTTCAGCCTTAGCATTTGAGAGCCCTAGACTTCTGTCTACTTTGTGTTGCTTGTTTGAGTCTTCAAAATAAGCTCTGCTGCTCTTGAGTCAAAAGAAATGATCAATACATGATTCTTTTGAAGTCATTGTGAGAAGAAGAAAAAGAAGCCAGGGGTCTTTTCCAGTTGGTTCTCCTTGAACATCAGTTTACTTTCCTAGGAACCATTACTTCAAAGGGAGCAGAGCCTGGAGATGTGGTGTGTCATCCTCCAATCAAAGAATCGTCCATTATCATCTGTCCTGAAAGCCACATTTTGCAAGTTGAGTGCAATGAACTATTTCTTCAGGTGGCTTTTGATGCCCTTAGTAAACAGTCTTAAGGAATTTAGGAAGATATGCTGTACATTTATATGTTCATCCTTAAGAATGAGAATGGGAAAGAAATTTGAAAATAGGTGAACAGAAGATGGGGGGGCACTATATGATAAAAGAGGAAACTCAAACTCCTGCTCTTCCAAGCACAATAGTACCCTGACGCATACCACTTAAGCCCAGAGAATTCAAAACAGTTTCTTCTGAGTTTGACACCTACCTCATCATCTCAAACCTACCTAGGCAAGTGCAGACAGAATCCAAGATTTTGAAGCAAATGGATGATTTTTTTATGTTCAGATTGCAGACTCAGACTCAAGTGGAAATGTAATATTCATGTTGGCTCAATCCAGAGTTAGACGGCATCTTCATTAATCTGACCTAATGCAGCAAACCAAAATGAAAAAGTATTTGTGAGGTGCTGGGATTGGGAATGAGTATAGGCTCATTTCAGTGTCTGGAAGGGAGGATAAATCTTTGTTATGCAGAAAGTTTGTAATACTGGTCCCCAGCCTTCCCTTGCTCTGCAGCCTGGGTGGGGAAGATCTGAGGTTCAGGCTGTAAAGTGTATTACCACATCTTGTAGAGGAATTCCTGGCTCCTAAGGGTGCAGGGCTTTTGGTCAGCACGGAGTCAGTGTGATTAAATGATTCGCATCTCTGGGCTAAATGTTTCCAACTCAGATGCCTGAAGTGACAGATGAGCCCAGGTTTTGTCACTGCCCATCCCTGCACCTTCCCACTACTTCAGAAGTATGCAAAGCATCCCAGGAGGACCCAGCCTCAAATGGCTGATCCATTTGCCTCCCCTTTCTTAGTTACTTTGAATTAAAAACCTTCCATGAAAAGCTGCCTGCCACCGCAACCCCTGCTGTTTCATCAGACCTGGGGATTGTAACTTCCCACCATGGTTCTCTGTGACACACTTCCTAATGTGACTTTCTGTGAAGCCAAGGTAGAGTTTCAAAGTCCAGAGAGGAGTCTCTCCAGCATATGTCATGTCTAGTGTCCATGCTTTCCTACAAAATAAGGAAGGCTTCAACCCTTCTATAAGGATGTCATCTGCACCATCTCTGCTCCATGAGTGCTGATCTGGTTTCAAAAGGCTACCCACAGTGTTCTCAGACTTCCCTCTTTTCCTTTCCTAGGAATTGCCATGGGCCACTATGAAAAATCACTTTACAAGACACTATTGTAGGTCTTGTGGTTTTCAAAGTGAATTTGCTTGCCCTATATACTCTGTTAGCTCGGCATATATACTTTGTGAGGTCACAGGTACCTGTGAAAAAAGAAAGGACATTTTAGACCAAATGCCTTGTTGGTCTCAGCCAGGTTTCTATCCCAGTCTGGCTTCTGACCCCTCTCTCATTTCCTGATACTCTAGACCATCATGGCCACAACCATTGAATGGCACCTTTGAAAAAAATTATCTGATGTAGACTATCAAAGAATGGATAATTTCCTTGTTCCTTTTTCAAAAGTCTCTGACTCTGTCTTAATCTTTCAAAATACTCTACACAAATATTTCAGTGAGGTTCTTTGGACAGCTACATTCCAGCCATAGAAATGGGTGGGCTATGTGTTCCCCAGAGCAAAAAAAAGGTCTGAGGACAGAACAAAATAGCCTTGAATAGCCATCAGGTTCTCAGTCCCCTGCTACAAACACACTTAGTTCCCTGTTTCCTTGTGGACACTGGGAGTTGTTTGAAAAGGGCTGAGATCACTGACAGCCAGCCTTCCGAAGGTGTGAGATCCAGCTTCACGTGCTGCAGCCCCTCTGACAAGTGATTCATTGAGACCCAAGCTGGAGTTCCAGCATCAAACAGATGTCAGACGAAACACCAAATGCCTATAAATGATTGCTTTGCAAGAGTGAAATGACTGCAAGACCTGGCCTAATGATGCTCCCCATGTCTGGACAAGTTTACAGAAGGCATGGGGGTGGGGGAACTGGTTTTAAACAGTCTAGGAAGAAGGCTGTTTCTGGGGTGAGAAGTGGAGCCTTCGTTCTCACCTGAGAGGCTCCTGTTGGACTGAGTGGTGTCTGGTTGGTTTGTGGGCAGTGTGTAAGGGTCCATCTGAAAAGCGCATGACGGGCACTCCACAGGCCAGATCCGGGTGACGCACTAAATCATTAGATATAAATATCTGAGTAAATTAAAAAACGAAATTCTGTTGGAACGGAAACTGCTCACCAAAAGGCAGAGACAGGAATGCAAACAGTAAGTCTGGCTGTCATTCTGTGCACTCTGGAGCAAGTCAAGCTTGGCTCTGGTCACTCTCCAGTTGTTTTACAACTTTCTAGACATGGAACACTCAGCAAGCAGCTTCAACAGGATTTCTGAAATGACAGCTTGTCCAGGCCTAGCTCACTATTCTCCTTTTTAGGGCTTTTATTTCCTGATTGGGACTTTGGACTTTAATAATTTTAGGTATCTGTTCACTCCTTCACACCTACTATGTGTTGGGCCTCTACCAGATACCAAGAGTACAACAGTAAATGGCCAGTTTAGTTTTCACTTGTGGAGAATTCAAATTCCTGTAACATTGAGTAAATCAGATTATTTCAGTGAGTCTAGGCATTGAAATATTTGTTCTTGCTCTTAATCCTTGACTTTCAGTCCTCCCAATTTAGGATTTTTTGTAATACCATTTAGTATCTTGTGAGACTACTAGTAAAAGCAGAAACTTAAACACATACATGCATGCATACATGCATAACATACATACATACATACATACATACATACATACATACATACATAGAAAGGGCTATGTCTTGCCAGGCATGGTGGAACATGCATTTAATCCCAGCATTTGGGAAACAGAAACCGGCATATCTCAGCAAGTTCAAGGTGAGCCTGGTCTACAAAGTGAGTTTCAGGCCAGCCAGGGCAACAAAGAGAAACCCTGCCTTAAAAAACCAAAAGCGGAGGGGGGGGTGTTCTCTTTTAGCATCTTTCTAAACAGTAACATACCAAGCTAGTATTGCCTCTTCTGCCAGTTGACTGCTACAAGCATGTACCTAATACAGCAAAGTACTCCTAAGGTCCAAACCAAAGGAACTGACTCTCTCTCTCTCTCTCTCTCTCTCTCTCTCTCTCTCTCTCTCTCTCTCTCTCTCTCTCTCTCTCTCTCTCTCTCTGTGTGTGTGTGTGTGTGTGTGTGTGTGTGTGTGTGTCTGTATGCACATATACATACATACAACTGGGGTGACCCAATGTGGTTGGTCAGCCTGGCTATCCAGGCTGGATCACAAAAAAAAAAGAACAAAAATAGAAGCATCTCTATTTCCATTCACTTTCTTGTGTTACAAATCACTCAACATTTCAGGCAATCAAAAGGAACAGTATGAAAACACTTATTAAAGTGCATGGATTTGTTGGAGTTCAGCCCCTGGTAGGATGATGGACGTGGACAATGGTTCTCATTGTCTACTAATTCCAAAGGAAGGAAGCAAGCAGACACGGTGTGCCCTAGGTGGCCTTTATTCCTACCTAAGGAGCATTGTCAGGTGACATAAGTGTGATTAACTTCCGGATGTAACTAATAATCTGCACAGGAAAACGAGTATGGCACTTGTTCAATGGCACACGAAATACTGGAAATATGACTGACATATATCCAGACTATTGGAAATATGACAGACACGTGAATTGATTCTTAAATAAAAGCAATGGAGCAACATATATTAAAGGTCTAAAGACTTGTATCCAAGAGTTGCAGCATGTGCGACTTATTTGAATTTTGTTCTCAGTCACAAACGTGTAAAACTAAAATGTGAGGTGATTGAAGATGAATTTGCATACCTACATGTGTGCATTAAAGAATCTGATTCATTGGGATCTTTTTAAAATGTGTGATAATGGAATTGTGACTCCATATTGTAGAAGAAACCTTTTAAATTAGTGGTGTATGACAAGATATTTATGGATGAATTACCATGACGTTCAAGATTTACTTCAAAATGATCTGTTAAGGAGAGGAGAGCAGAAAGAAGTGAAACAGTGAGTCTTATCTAATGTCACTACAGCCAAATGATGGTGACAGGACCACAGACACTTTGACATTTTCTCCCAAGAAGCCTGGGGAAAGAAGGTAGGCAGGATGGGAGGGAAGAAGTTAACAGGTTATGTAATAGAAGACATCCACAATGCAAAAGCAAGTATATTGCCTGAATGTATTCAGAATTGCTATAAAGCAGAAGAAAAATTAAGTTTTGTGGAAAAGTTAGCAAGGGACTTGAAAGGGCACTTTACAAAGAAAAGGGGAGCCAAGGGGCAGTGGCCATTGTTATCTGTCAATTGCAGATAAGAACTATTGCAAGGCAGTACTGTACCTCACCAGGATCAATACAACTAAAGACAGTACAAAGAGAAATTACAGAATAAAATCATCTGGCATACAAATCACTGAATGCCAGAAGAAAGTTTGTAGCGTGCTGACTGGTCCCCATTTTTGAATCAGCCATAACTACGTTAGACTTTGGCTTCCCTTCTCACTAGCCATGTGACACTGGACATATCATTTAAATGTCCACATCTGGGTTTTCTAATCCATAGTAAAATGATATATCTACATCCAAGGGCCATCTGAATTCAGTCGCATGACTCATATAGAGTACTTG